TTAGAGGAAAAAAAAAAAAAAAGTGGGGGGTTTTTTTTTTTTTTTTTTTTTTTTTTTTTTTTTTTTTTTTTTCATGGACGTTATTGCTCCTTCAATTATAAATTTAAGTAGGGTATTAGTTGTAAAAATTAAATTGCCAATAACTAACCGATAATGACTAATTCAATAGTTCTACTTTTCTTATCATTATTTACGGAGATTATGAATTTTGTCATTTATTCTTACAACGAATGACGTATGAAATAAAGTTTTCTTTCTTTCGCTCCCTCTGACTTTTCTTTTTCTTTTCATCAAATTTTCCAAACTTTTTTCATACCAGAACTATGAGATTGCCCGCCTCATTAATGATACCTAAGCCCAGTTCTGACGTCACATTTTCACAATTTATTCATAATAAACGCCATAACCAAATAATTGCATATTAGCTGGCCGCTTATAGGCTATAATCTTGCGCCCGCGGATGTTTCTCAGCTTTTGCTTCACTATTTTTCACATAAACCATATTCGCCTAATGGTATCGCAATTCGTTACTCTACCCCACATGCCATCGGAATCTTACGTAAGAATTAATTAGAATATATTGTAAAATAAATAAGTACGTTGGTTACGGTAAGATTTTATCAGAGGCAATTATATGTTATGTTTGTGTTACATGTGTTTTGTTTATAACTCTCGTAAAATCGTAATTTCCATGAACATTAAAATATTTACTAAACAACGTGATTTTATATGTGTACAAAATAATTTTGTTATTTAAAGCAAACGTGTCTTATTCGCTTGTGTACGCTATCGTGGCACGTCCCACTCAACCCCCTGCAACTTTCTTAGTAATCCATTGTAATGATCGAGCCGCAATTATAATTGCAGCTCTCTTAAATACGTCAGCCTGTTGCTGGGATTCGGAGGCGGAGTTTTATTTTGCACGACTTTTTTGCACATGCTGCCGGAAGTGGAGGAAGGCGTCGAGCATCTGACGAGCGAAGGAATCCTTCCGCATCTCGACTTCTCCTTAGCTAAGATCCTTTGCTGCACCGGGTGAGTTTATAATAACAGACGGATATCGTTTATATTATTGATCTGCCGTGTTTGTATTGATATTAGTGTTAATCGCTGTCTCTACTTCGCGGAAATTATTTATAATAAAACGAAGGAAGGCTAGAGGGGATTATGAAAGCATGATCGAGGCCCGAATAGAATGGCAAAAATTCTTGGGCAATTGCCATTTTCGGTGATAAAGTCGGACTTTCTAAATTAAATTAGAGTAATAATCGTTCCGCGGCGGTCCCATTAATAATAAATACCCATAAAATTGCGGTTGGAAATATCGTCGTTTTCTCGGAATTGGCGAAAATGCTCGCTCGCGCAATACGTCGGTGCACTTCAACCATTGTCCTTTCGTTTCAGATTCTTCATCATGTATCTCATTGAAGAGATCGTCCATACTCATTTGAGGCACAGGCATCCGGAAAAAGCGTCGATCGACGCAACGTCGAAGACCAGCAGTAACGTTAACATCTACACGAACGAATCGATCGAGAATTACGGGAGCGTCGCTAATAGAAAATGGAAGGATCAGGAGAAGCCGTAAGTGACGTAATATGCTCATTCGGCCTTAAGAGCTATACAAGACACTATATAACATATATAAAGTGCCTTCGCGAAATATTGTCCAACAATGCAAATAAAACGCAGCCTCGTATTAGGATGGAAATTGCCGTTGATCATAACGACAGCATCTGCCAGACTTAAATTGATTATGATTATCGAGAGGCAAGAAACTTATACGAAAACTTGACATTATTTTCACGACGAGCGGCTAGTTTATCAATCAGTAAATAATAGCTGTGCGCGCCAATGGGTCTTAAAATTAATAATGAACTATAAAATGTATAAAATGGATCGATAACGAGTCGATCAGATTTCTCCAAATAACGATAAATCCTCGACAGCCAAGTGATATTCCCCGTCTATATTTACATGATCATTGAATTGTTAATTCAGCTGCGACATCGGCCATACGCATCTCAACATCATCGAAGACTGCGAGAGCTTTCACGCGGGTGCAATAAGAGGTCTATTGATTGTTCTTGGCCTCTCGGTCCACGAATTGTTCGAAGGCCTCGCCATTGGCCTCGAAAGCTCCGCCGGATATGTATGGTAAGCTTTAAACTTTTATCTTATCGACCAAAGAATTTGACTGACGTTACTTATCATCTTAATAAGTCCTCGACTGCCTTATCGCCGTGATGTAATCGGATTTGTAGTTTTTACGAAGCTACGCGGGCGAGCACGTGGCTTCTGTGCGCTACATCTGACTTTCAATTGATAATTTTATATTGCACCTCGGCGGCTCTGCCTATCGCCGATTTCCATAATTTCGCCAGTTTATTGTCTCCCGGCATTACTAACGCTACTCCATTCACCACAAAACTCGTCTTTAACAATATTCGACTCCTATGTAGAGTCAAATATATAATTCGTTTTTCCCATTTCAACGATAAATCCTCGTCTTGCACTGTCAATTATCGCGCGCGTGTGTGTAAGTGCCATTTGTGAACACTTTCTCACGCATCTATTTGCTAATTCGAGCCAATTCGCTAATTCCACGTATACGTCAATCTAAACATATCGTAGGTAATTATAATATTATAATAATTATAATGATATAATTGTAAATAGATCGTAGGTAAACGTAGGTAGATCATTGTTTGTTTGTTTGTTTTTTTTTTTTTTTTTTTTTTTTTTTTTTTTTTTTTTTTTTTTCTTTATTTATTGATACACACGCGGCATCGCGCTCGGCATCGACTTTGAAATATTCTTCTGCTTTATCTTGGGTAGGGTGATCATTTTTTTTTTTTTTTTTTTTTTTTTTTTTTTTTTTTTTTTTTTTTTTTTTTTTTTTTTTCTTTATTTATTGATACACACGCGGCATCGCGCTCGGCATCGACTTTGAAATATTCTTCTGCTTTATCTTGGGCTTCAACTGAAATGTAGCCCTCGCGCATTATTAACAGTCATTAATTATTTCTCCTCGTATGCTCTTTAAACTTTGTCAAACAACAGCGGAAGAGAAGCGGAGATGTCAAAAGTTCGGCGCGCGGCATAATAATAGAACGAGAGGCACGATTGTACGTATCGCAGTCGAGATAAAATCGGCAAAACGGAATTAAAGTCGATTAATAAGCGACATTACGATCGCATTTGTCGAGGCGAATCGAATTACTTTAAGCGGGTAAGCGCGGCATCGAGGCTTTGTCGGGCTACTTAAGCGCGCGCTTTGGCATTTTCATGCGATTGGCAAGGACGAACGTTGGACGTTGATATCAATGACGATCGCTCCCGTAGGTACATGTTCGGCGCTGTCGCGGCCCACAAATTCATCATCGCCTTCTGCATCGGCGTCGAACTGACGACCTCGCGCACCAAGGCCGTGCTCAGCTACATCTACGTTTGCATGTTCGCCGTCGTCTCGCCCCTGGGAATTGGCATCGGGATGCTCCTCGTCGGCGGTGACAGCGCAGCAGCCAGTGGACCAGCCGCTGTTACGTTGCAGGTCAGTCATTGTTGTGGGGGTACGTGGATAAAGGCGTTTCCTACTTGGGGCTTGAACCCAAGGAGGGTCGTCTGGGACGACCGCCGAAGGAAGCGTTGCGAGGCGCAGCCAGAGCAGGCACTCGCCAACACTGTGCGACAGGATACTTATGTTAATGTGAAAATTGCCTATATTAATCGATGAAAAATCCAGACTGCGCTTATTTAAGTTTACGTAACGACACCGATTGAACGGATAGATTGTACGTGTACTAATACACGTAGACGTATCATCTGTCTGTGTAGTAATTCGATTGCTTGATACACTGTGCTGGGAATTTTCGTATTTCTCCTGCAGGAAGGGAAAAATTAACGGCAACTTTTAATTGTATCATCCTATATATTTGATAAAATGTCGCTTTTTGTTTTTGTTTTTGTGTTATTATTGCTACTATATTAAAGTTTTCAACGCCATTATTAAATATGCATTACTCGACGTTTGTCTAGTAGTCGCATAGTCGGAACACATTATCGTTATTCTTTATTCGTAGATTAAAGTGTTTGTACTTTCAGGGACTTGCATCGGGAACGCTTTTATACGTAGTATTTTTTGAGATTCTTCACAAACATCGCAATGGACTACTCCAATATATCGCGATAATTCTTGGTTTTGCGGCCATGTTTGGACTCCAAATCTTAAGTAAGTACAATAAATGTTTATGTATTTGAAAAGTATGTTTATCGATCCAATGAATCTCAAATTTCTTTGTTAACTTGTAAATTTACCAAATCTTTCTTCCGTGTAAAATGATAAACAAAAAACAAAACAAAACAAAAAACTCGTTTTACCAACGAACCATTAAATTTAATGCAGATACATCATGATTATCATAAATACATGATAATTAATATTACGACTTGACTAGTATGACTGTTGGCTTAAGTCGAGCTGCAAATTATGTGGTACTAAAAATGTTATTTCAGACAAATATTATAGAGTGAATAGCTACTAATTGATGTGCCGACTGCAATATAATTAAGGAAAGAATTTTAATAAGTAATTGAAATTATCGATTAGGAATTTCCGTTTAGTAATTGAATAAGCAATGTTATCATTACTTTAATTACGTGGATGAATACAGAGAGTGACTGTGAAATGGCAGAAATTTGTTTGAAATAAGGATGCTGAATATTTATCGCTCGAGTGAAATGATAAAAGTGTTGTTGAAATATGAATAGCAGCGGGCAAGATATTAACACATACATCGACCTCCACGATCGTATAATGCAAAAGAATTTATTATATAAAAAATGATCTGTGATGAATAAAAAAATGTTCATATTATCTTTATATGTAACAATATCAACTTACGACATTTCTCGAGGAATGTGACAAATATCAAATCTGTAATCCTATGAAAATATCCATCGCACTTGAGCCACTACTTGAAATATATATTCAACGATAGAATATAATAAAAATATTACATCTCAGGAAATTTTATAAATAGCGCCATCGCGGCGTAATGGAATTTTTACAATTATTATATTTAATATATATTGAGTAGTAATTTATGTAATCGGTCAGCCTTCGAATATAATTATCACACATTTTGCCTACAACAACGTTACTTTCTCCATTGGGAATTATTCTTCGTATTCCGCTTTCACAATCGATCATTTCAAAGATATTTCGAAGAACGCTTGGCAGATCCAGTAATACACCCTTAAATGCAACTCTTAAACAGTATTTCACTCTCCCGTACGAAGCTAAATGACAGACAGATGATTTTTAAGATCCAAGAGCAAAGATGGATTTATAATAAATATCGCCGATTACGAATAAGGAAGCAACGCTCGAGCCTTAACAGCCACAGTTGAAAATATCGAAAGGCACGAATGTGCTCGATAGGAGCATTCACTTAATCGCGGCCCGAATGAATAAATCAATGTCAAAGAATTGTCACGCAGCTGAGGAGCGAAAATTCGTCACGCAATCAAAAATTACATCTCAATTACCAAGCGTAACGCTATAATGACGTCGCACTCCGCCATACGCCAAAGACGACAGATAAACTTGGCCGTCAGCACCGAGCTCAGATCCGCCCAACTATTGACTTGCAAATGAAGCCCCGACCAATACCGCAGTCGCCCAACAAAATATAAACAAAGAGCCGACCAGGCCGACGAAATTTTTTTCATACACACGCCCCCGGATAAAAATTCACAGCGACATTCGTAATCCGTTATGCGGCGTATTGGCAAGAAGCGTGACGGACCCTCGTGACTCACGTAACCAGCGTTTGTTACATGTGCAGGATCTTATTTCCCTTTTTTCTTAGGCTGGAAGATCGACTTGGGAAGTCCATCTGGCAAATGAGTTTCTCCAGCCTTGCCTCGATGAGCACCTTATTCGCGGTCTCTTTCTTTCTTTTTTTTTTTTTTTTTTTTTTTTTTTTTCTTTTTGTTTTCTTTTTTTACGAGGACCTGTCAATTATGAGATGCGTTATCTGGCTCGATTAGTTACGGAGTTACATGGAGAGCCGGTCCGAGTTGTTCTCTTTTATTAGCAAATTTACTGTTGCTCGCTAAAATGGCTTTTATTGATCTTTAAGTCCATGGTAAATCAAACATTACATTGTTCTTGCGTCGAATACTATGGTAAATGATTGTGATACGTTGGTTGGGAGCATATGGCAAATCTAGAATTTGCATATTCATGTTCTTTATTGCTCAATGGCATGTTACTTTAAGAAATTTAATCGTAGATTGCACGAAATCTTTATACATAGTATATTTATCGAGACTTTATACATAGTATTTCGGTATTTTCGTACTCTATTAGATTTTGTATAAAATTCTCTTCTATGACTCCTATTGATTGATTAACCTACTGTTGTCTTGTTATCTTTTGATAATTTCGAATTTATAATGACGTTAATGGCAATCCCATCGACAAAAATTAGTCTACGTATTAGGTATTAAAATTTTAAATCACCCATATTAACTATCAACATTGAAAAATTATTATTCAAATAATCAATTGCAACTGGCATAATCAATCGCTCGATATATTATCGAGTTTACCTAATAAAATTCATCTAATTTCACGTAGCTCGTGATAGAAATTATAATTTAATGAAATATCATTGCAAATATATAGACGATAAATTCAATTTTATATTATTTTCTTATCAACTATTTAATTTCATTAGCATTAGCTTAAAATTTACAATTTAATTAAATTCAATTTCACTCGTATTAACTGAATTTGTTAATGTACTATATAATTTTTAAATCACTCATTAACGCTATCAATACAAATAAACATTATAATTTCTTTAATTGGGCATTTTCTTAATAAGTAATCGTCATAATATTTTACGTCATAATTATATGATATATATATATATAAATTCAAATCGCCTTGAATTAATATTTTAATATTCTCTTAAATGTCCATGTCGAATATTTAATGAAGTTTTTGGTTCTTACTTAATAACGTTTCGCCATCTAATATTTTCCCAACTATTACGTGAAATTTATTTAAGCATCTTAATTGTAGTTTAAACACAACATTACTAAGTGACCTTACAAAGTATTAAGTCATCAAGAAGAAAAAATATGTTCTAGGTGAACAGCGTTTGTTTGTTGAACATTAAACCATTAAATCAAAATTTTAATAGTATTGATAATGTACTTATTTTAATTTCATTTCATGCTATGTTTTTTATATATCCCACAGGCACAAAGAAAACTTATTCAATTCATAATAATGAAAATCTTAAATCAATCAATAAATTTAATTAGTACATTTCCCATCGCACAGTTATCATGTAGCTTTGTAACTTTTCAATGGTTAAACATCAATTACACTCCATTACTATAAATAGCGCCACACATTAAAGTTCATTTATTTTAAACTTGAGCTTATCATTCGCGTGTGTGATTTATTGGAATTGTGTAGCTCGTCGTGTACACATGAGATTCACTTGTACGATATAACGTTCATTGACAGCCGGTTGCTTAGATAAAATATGCGAGCTCAATTCGTAAAGCCAAAAATGCCACTTAATAGTTGAAACTAATAAAATTAGAATGAAACAATGAAATTATTATGGATAGAAGAACCAGGGATTGACGAATCGACCGATAAAATTGTACATCACCAAGAATACATAGGCAGAGCGAATTTATCGAATAGCGCATTAAAACAATATATAACCAATACTTCGGATCTTCAATTATAAATTGTACCATAAATCGTAGTTATGTGCCGTAATTGAGAAAAAAATGTACGGAGGAATAATCAGTGTAGAGTCAATTTACCGACGTTGAGCGCAGTTCGAACGGAGTATGTAGGAATGTCATCAACGCCACGGCACCGACGCTACCGCACACTCTATTACGTCTCTATTTATATAATGTGCAATAAGTTGAAAATTGATCCAGGACAAACTCAATGTCACGGCTACCGACCGACTCACCTTTCATAATTTCGCAGTATGTTGAGAATTACAGGAGGGACGCAAAGATTGGGATACAATGTGCACAATGAAGCTGATTAAAGTATTTATTATCATGACAATGTTTGTAATGGCCTATAATGTAAAGAAGCCTGACAATTTTTTCTTTATTATATTGTATTTCAGCATATTTTCTTCAAGATTGCGTGGTGGTGGGGGGTTGGGAGGGGGTTGGGAGGGGAGGGGAGGGGAAGGGAGACTATAACCCGATATGACAAAATTTCATATATAAATCTTAATTCTAAATAAGTGATTAAGTGATACGACCTTTATGAGATGGTTGTAACAATTTTAAAGTAAAGTTTTCATTCATTATGTAGAATATTGAGTTCACTGCCCTATGCGTAGAATGAAACTATGGGGAAAAAACTTGGATTTACTATAGACAATTTAGAAAGTTACTCGACGTTCTGAAAAAATAATGAAATTTATGTACGTCATAAATAGTTTTTCTTATAATCTTAATTAATAATCATGAAAGAATAGAAGTAGCCTATATATTATTAAAATAAAATAATAATAATAATAATAATAATAATAATAATAACAGTTATAAATAAAGTTACTCGTTATTTTAACATCAAGCGGTATAAATTTTAGAAAAATTTATTAAAATTATTCGATTAAAACTTTTTCACGATTATGTGATATGTATTTAACTAAATACTACTTCCTTTTATACCAAATTTCTAATATTGGAAGTTTTATTTCTATATTATAATAATAATGTTAACTAAAAAAAGGCTATAAAAATCGAATATCCTTATAAAAAAAAAAATTTTAAAAAAACTTATTTTTACACTATACTATTACCGACACAGATTTCGGCCAGTTAACACTAATCAATAGATTTTTTATTATGTACAATAATAATAATGAGAGAATTAAAAAATATATTTTCTTATAATATATTTAACTACATTTATTTATTTATTTATTTATTTATTGACTTATTTAATAATAAAATAATGAAAAACTGTAATCTCAGTGTCTCACTCGATTTCCAAGTAAATTAATAATTAACGTATATAGTTGAAAATAAGAGCCGAACAATTTGATGTGCACTTAATTACCTTTTATCTATAATATTTACGAATGTACTCCCCAACAATATCCCTACATTACTGAGAACATTTTTATAACAACACTATCATTGCCAATTTAAACCTTATATTATTCAAGTATGGCTATATTAACTTGAAATAATAGATTTTTATTTCATTTAAATCGAACAATATAATATTATTACGGATTCTCGTTATAAATTAATTCGTGGTCATGAAAAATCGTCATTATTTATTATGAAAGTCACAGAGGTGATTCCTCCGAAGCACATTATTCATAATGTTTATTATTTATTCATAAGCTGCGTAATTACTGTAATGATCGCGTGCCGCAATACTGTGAATAAACCCTTATGAAATATCTATTGTGTATAGCTAAAGGCACACATTATTCAGGCATTCCCAATTACGACGATCCAACACTTTGTACATTTTGTATATTGAGAATTTCCTTATCGAGCAGCATTGTGATAAAGAGACTTATCTTTTTTAAATACCTTTGTCGTACAAGATAGATGGCATATCGAAGAGCCTTGGTACTTCTAAACTAATTTCTAAAGCGCTGGTCGTTGGATAAGACGTCATTAGGCCTTTGACCCATCGCTTGTCTTTCTCACTCTCTCCAAGCGCGTTGCGCAAGGAGGCAGCAGCGACGCGAGCAGGCGTCCCGTAAAATATAAAAATGAATGAGACGGGTGGAAAAGCGAGAAAGAGAAAACGCCGGCCGAGCTCGCTAGCTCGGTATCTCTTTATTAAAGCCGCATGCGTTCGGCACTTGGCCGTATGTACGTGCAAGTATGCGCACTTACGGTCGCTGGAAAAAGATTCGACGAACGCTCTTGCTCGCAAGACGGGTTTCCTCGCTGCCGAGAGTCGATCTTTTCACGACAGTCGATATATCGGGGTAGAAAGGCAGCAAGGATTGACCCAATAACACAGATAGGTGTTCACCTGTGGAGCGAGTCGGACACGAAAGAAATTACGAACCGCGCGACTGCCTCTTTTTTTTTTTTATG